ATAAAAGATATATCTTCTATTTGAAAATACAAACATTATCCGCGATGATCCGCAGTGATGTTGTCATATATAGGATAGTTTAAAGAGAATCCTTTCAGGACTATTTAGAACTTTTAAAAAAACTATTTAGAATTTTTCATCTGAATTTTGTGAAATATTCCTAAAAATCGACAACGTATAGATAATACTAGAATTAAATGCATCTATACTATGAAATAAAGAAGGTTCCAAATGATATATTTTTTTATTCATTATAAGGAGATTTTACAAATGTTTGAGTTGGATAACTTAAGATAAGACATCATTAAAGGAATTGAAAAGCTAGAGACTCTATTTAAACTTACTGATTATCCTTTCTTGTAAACCCCCACTTATTCTTCACCTCCCTCTTGTTCGTCCAACATTTTTATCTCCCGTTTTGTTGTTGGTAATTAAATTAAGACAGATAGGAGCCGATGTTGCTTCCTGAATAAGATAAAACACAACAACAGTTACTTTCAAAAATCGTTAGTTTACTTTTTCCATCCTCTTTTGTATCGTGTGCCCTCTCGCGTCTGCCACTTGATATTTTTTTCATCTGCGTGGCGTTTTACTTCGCTGGAACAAAGCCAAACACAGAAGGGAGAGTTTTATTTGTTTGCAGACGAACGGAGAGAGCGGGCCGTCGTGGAAGTGTCGGTGACAATGGCGCGGCGTCCGCGTTTTGACAGCTCGTTCGGTTGTTACTGTAATCGCTTCAACTTAAAAATATTACGTCAATATAAGCGGAAATAAACGCGAGATGACGTGCTTAGGAGCGTCTCGAATGGCCTTTCGTTCCGGCGTGGAAGCAGAAGGAATTGAAAACGAAAATTTGAATTTTGATGTCTTTTCCGGCGAGTTCGCCCGCCGGCGAGATAAAACTTTATTTCGATGTTCACTCGATAACAATAAACTTTTTTTTAAGTTGAAATTTCGACAAATGAAGTCGGGGAACATTGGGAAATGATTAATTATTTTTTCTATTATTAGGTTAATGAAAAACAATATTAACAATTTCGTACCTTAAGGATTTTTTATAACTTAGGATCTTAATTGGTTATAATACATAAACCCTTCAACAACTAAAAAATGTTTAATTTAATAAGTCCAAACCAATTCGAAATCCAATATTATTATTGCATATTCACATTATCTACATATCCGTCCATCAGCGTAAGTAGGGTTACTTATCATTTTTTTGCCACTTAACGTAAACATCCTGTATAGTAATAAAGAAGGAAAATAGATTCAATTTCAATACGTTTTTTGAGGTAATTTTCCGCTTGTCCGAATTCATTTTTCCAGTGGAATTTTCTTTCTAAAATAACGAGATAAAATTAATCCACTTCGACGTTCGAAGATAGATCTAATTCCTCATTTTTTGCTCGTTTCGGGGCCACGTATCGGAAAAAACTCCGACCAATCCTTTATCGCGTAATTTTAGAGCCGCGTCAGCACTATCTGTTTTAAATTCAACACCCAACAAATTGAAAATGTCGGGAAAGCTGCTCCGAGTTAAAGTGTCAAGTTTTTAGCAAGAAATTAGATTTATTCGGGCCGGTCTCCGGCAAATATATCGCGCTAATTGCAAAAAAATCCAAAGCGGATAAAGTTGTTGCTTTTATCAAATTTTTAATCTCCAAAGGCAATTACACGTCTCCATTTTGCCATGATTCATGGAATTTTTCGGCGTGTGTGTTGTTTTATTATTACAAAAAATTAAAATAAACTGTGTAAGGTAAACGCGTAAATAATTAAATAAGTATTAAATAAAAAACCTTCATCAGGATAAAAGCACGGGAAGCTAAATATATAATTTACCGGGGCGATGTGATGTGTTTTAAGAAACACCATCAGACAAGGGAACGTCTTATCCTAAGAAATGACATGCCTGTTTCTCTTTTTTTCTGACATATCGGTTTGTTTCCATTAACATACATTTACACCTAGGGCGATCCCGCGTTTCTTTTCAATATTGCATGAAACCCGAAGGGAAAGTGCTCTCCCTTTTACGCGGATGAACGTACATCTGTATCTGTATACTATGTAGGGCAAATGTAAGTAATACGTGAACGTCCCAATTCCCAACAGATGATTCTCTCAACATAATGGAACGGAATAGTAGGTGCGTGCTAGATGATTGATGAAGGCCCAGAGAAAAAAAAAGTAACGACAGAGTTTTTTTATACACCGCGGAGGAAAAAAGTTTATGAGTTGGAAAAAAGAGATGGATCCAAAGGATTGTTGTTTTTCCTACCACTATTCGAGGGCATAGTAAACAATAAAATTCTCCGTTCTGAAAGTTATTTCGACTCAACGGAAATTTCCTCTAATAAATAAGCTCCGACGTCCTAAAAAAAGTTCCTCGAGGATTAACTTTCGATTCGGAATCGTGCGACTGAAATAACGCGCCGTTCAAGACCAACGGTTTCGAAATTAGAATTTCGAGGCGCTCGAGCAAACCGACACTCCGAACGGTTAATTATTACCAGACAGTTAAATCATCGAGCATTCTTTTTAGAAAACTATAATGAAATTAAAATCCATTCTGTAACAGGTGCACTATCTTTCTTGTTGTAGACGTTAACCCAGTTTGCCTTTGCCAAATATTTCACAGGCTGTTACTGTGTTCGATTTTTTTTTCTGTAGTGCACGAGCAGTGTCGTTTCTTCAACATTTCTCCTAGTAAAATCAAAAAATTATTGTTCAAGTGAATTATGGACTTCACCAATTTGTTCCAAATTTGGACCGACGAGGAATGGAAGAAGAACCGATAAATTTTCAAGCGATAAATCTAAACAAATGGCCGCAATTAAAAACAGTTAATAATCGAAATTGATCGTGTGTATCGGCATGACCCCCGTGGAAGGGTAGAGGTATAGCGCAGACCACAAAAGGGGCAATTACGTTTTACGAGTGAATCGGAAATGAAAGGTCACGTGAAGTACTAATCTATCAAGTATTCGTTACTGTGATTGCATTCGGCCGCCGAAATTAACGTTACGCTATAATTTGTACGCCAATGGGGTCGATATTACCGACACTTATTCGCCTGGCCCGATGATTTATGCCTCATTAAACATGTAGATTGTGGAAGTTCGAAGTCATTGTTATTGGAGGAGAGAGTAAACAGGATTTGTCGTGTTTTGAAGTGCTATGAAAATAACAGTCCATAAGGGGGTGGTGTGTTTGCTTACGTTGTTACGTCCATTAAAGTTTCTTTTTTCGTTATTTTAATTAAAAAAGAATTGTTTTTTTTTCTCACTCGCCGCATAATTTTGTATTTCTCCTAACAATAAAGAAACTCGTGAAAAGTACGCTAATGTTGCCAGAAATAGAACGAAGCGGCTTGTCAACAAATATATAACATATATTTTTTTCTAATCGGTTTAAGGTTTTTGTTAAACTCTGCGTGAAATTCTATATTTCATTTACTACTCTCCGTGGGCGGAAGCCGGGAAATTTTTTGGTTTATTTTCGATTCCGTTTTTGTTGGTAACACCTGTCGTCTTTTATCAAGTATAGTGTACAAGTAAATTTTGTTTCAATAGTAGCGCGTGTGTAATACATTCGTTACTTCTCTTTTTTTACGCTTCGAAACTCGGAAAATAAATAAGGAAGCGACCGGATGAAAGAAAAACTCGTGTAATTTAATCTCTTTGGATTTTTAAAATTATTTACGTACCACATATCTCGGTTATTTTTATGTATTCTTCGACGTTTTCGACGTTAATATACAAATTACATAAGCAGTTCTTTTTTATTTATTTCTTATTTTATTTTTATAAAATTGTGTGCTGTTTTTTAGAATACAAAAAATTTGTATATATTTCCCAATATGGGATTATCATGAAATTTCACTCAGATTCGATCATCTTCGATCATTTTAGATCAATTTCGATCACTTCATTTTCGAAATTCATCTCATTCACCTTTTTTACATTACAGAAACTGGCCCTTTTCCATACACATGGTAATTCCTTTCATAGTCATGTTTTTTGGAGTTTTCCTATTGATATATGAGAAGAAAAATGTTTCTTGGTTTACCACAAGTTTAGATATTTGATATAAAATCCAAAATTCCAAACATCCATATCCCACAATCGGGCACTTGTGCCTATACCTACCTCCCTATTTTTACATATATTTCTGGTGGAGGTTATGGAATTCAATCATTGTCAACTGCTCGGAAATCGCGGACATTCCGCTGTTCAATTTACTGGTTTTATAAAAAGAAAACCGTCCTTGAAGAATTATGTATTACGAAAATAAAATCGCGTTATTAGAGACATATCTTCGCGTAACGTCCACAATAAGACACATTCATATGCTATAGACATTGTGTGTAGCTCTGGCAGTGGCCCAATTCTATAAAAAGAAGCTGACAACATACGTTACAACTGCTTGTTGTTGTTGTTGACGAAGGAAATTTTGAAATGGTGGACTCAACAAGGATTCGTTTGAGACATAACAACCTGACATCTCTATTTACTCAGTCATTTTCACAGTTTCCTCTACATTATAGTTAGTTTAAAAAAATCATATTTTATATTCAATAATATTTACACAATTTACTTATTATCTAAAACCTAATAAAGTTATAATTTGGCTAGTATTTCCGATAATTAAACATATAAAATAAATTGCTTGCTGTTGCCTTTTTGGAGTCTTAATGAGCGCCCGGAAATCGGATACAATCGAATGTCGCCATCGAAATCGAAATCAGCCTAAATGGCAATAAAGTTCGGTTACGACGGCATAAAAGAGTTTCCAATAAAAATGGAAATTCATGTAAACATGTGTCGACACGCTGGAAACAACATCGGCCTAATGTAACGCAATACAATCGTAATAAATAAGGGGGGAAATGCTCAGACGATATTTTCCATTAAAATTGATAGCGAAATATAGTCAGTTTCTATACCTACAGTTTGATATTTTTGAAGCAAAATGTGCTAATTTTGTATATTTTGTTGCAGGTTAGTTGCCCAGTTCCTTTAAAAATATAGCAACAAATGGTAAGAAAGGTTAACGACATATTTCTTTTTATTGCATAAACATAAAAGTCGGTATAAATTATAGTGTGTGAGTAAAATCGACATGTTCTTGGCACAATTTACTTAACAAAATCAAAATACTTATTTAACAGATGAAATGAATGTTTATTTTAAAAACGATTAGTGCGGTAGATAACATTTTGTAGGACAAAATATGCTAATTCAAAGTAAAGTTAATGATGTGATACATTTATAAATAACTATAGAAGAAGCTGAAGGAAAATTAGGTGAAATTAAAATTTAATTGGACAAACAAAACTCTCATTCGTTAAGGTCGAAACAGCGCTGCTTAAGATACTGATGTATAATATAAAGACAAAAAACGTCTTAATTTCAGCAAATTCTTAAAACGGCAAAAGAAGCGTAGCAAATGGAGGAAAGAGCATTATATTTTTCTTTGATGGCATTAAAAAAGACTTTCTGAAAGTAATGAAAATCCCATTAGGAGAAAAAAAAGATCGGTCGAAAGGGTCATGTAATAAGATATTATTTAAAAAGGTTTTTTGAAATTTAATTGCGGTTAATCCTACATAAAAACATATAATTGAATATCCAATTCGAAAAAGCTAAAAGGTTTATTATTTACAAAAACGTGCCCCATTTAAGTTCCTAAACCCAATTTCACTGCGCTTCAACCTCACTGTATTTGTCTTGTCTATAATAAACTTTACAATAGGGGTTTACTTTGACTCCAGTAGAACATGAGGGTAATACATTCTCGAGATCCCGTCCTTAAATTCCCCATGAACTATAGCTACAAGCCATCCTTAACTAACTCCACATAGACAAGCATTACTTTATACATAACTAGAATTTATAACTAGAAAAACGAAATTAAATTATTATAACTCGCAAGTTGAGTCTAGGAAAAGAGCACTCGGAACTTTCTGAATTCAGAAACATACTTTCAATACACAACCTAACTGGAAGCCATGCTGTCCAACTTACACCCTACTTTACAAGTGTGTGCCTTCAGGACAAACTACTTTGGAATGAATAATGAATAAGCGTTTGGAATCCCGGAAAAATAAAAATCCGCAAAGGAGAACCCGGGCTAAGAAGATGGCAGTGTCCACATCCTCATCCTCATCTAACTTTAAAACAACATTAACTAAATTATTTCACATGCGGCAGTATTTATTTGAGCGTGCGATAAGTACAGATTTATTGAATTCCTTATCAAATGACTTAAATTAATCGTTCTCGCGCTGGAACTTAATGGTCTGGTTGAAATTTTTGGCCGAAATCAGCGCAAAATTTTTTCACGTATAAAAATAGGCAATCTTTGCAGACAATACAATAGATTTAATTAATAAGTGTCGCCCGTAATTTTAACTCTAATGAATCAGAGATTTTGACCGGGAGCCAATGAATTTGCTCTGTAAAAATGAGACTAATATAATATTTAGACTGTATCAATACTTAGATTATCTAAACAAACTTTTCTGTACTCTGTGTAGCGAAACTTCCATAAACATTAGTTGAATATGAATTAGACCCGGCTTTTTTGAGGAATTAATTTTACGTTTTAAAATCAATTAGGGATTCAGCGACACGAAGCCAAGGAGACAGCGCCAGCGCGCCGAATTACGGCCGGAGGATTTCGTATAATTTTAAATTGTTTTAATTTAAAAATGGTCGCTTTAATTAGACAGAACTCGAGCAAATGTTCGCGCAAAGCTCGAGAAAAAAAGCCATAAATCTCGGGATTGCACAATTTACTTTGGTCTGGTCGTAATTAATTTTAAAAACACAAAGCATTACTTCATACGCGAATGCCGATGCCAAGAATGCGCACAATGACGTGTCAGTTTATAAAAAAAAATTGAGAAAAAATAATGGAGACGTAGTTTTGGAAGATTTATTGGGTTACGATTTTACTGTATGTTATGTCTTTTTTTCTCCATCATGAAATCTATCGAGTTAGTAAATCATTACTTTATTATAAAATGATCTTCGTGGTATTTGCTAGGGATGAGATGTCACTGATGATGTTCGTAAAAATTCGTAATTGGCAACTCGTTGACGAAATAATGCGGTAGCGTCGCGACGCCGACGGACCGATACGCACTCAGTTGAAATTTCGACGCGTCGGATGAATGTTAATACGTATTGCGAGTTTTTTCGCGGGATTTTGTTAGTAACCCAATTTTACTGGTGTACCGTGAACTAGTTTTATTACTAGTACCCGAAATAAATGGCGATTCGTGCCGCTGCGAATCGGTTACGTTTACCCCAAGGTTATAATTTATAAACTGGATAGTTTTCGTGTATACCTGCCCTCCTATTGTACCTATTTTATAGGTTCGATTTTTAAATAATCCAACGTTTTGTCAGAATTGCTAAAAAATCATTTCGATAAATTTTAATTAAATCAAAACCAAATATAATTGTTTTTGGAAACGGAAAACTCTGTTTGTTCTGTTAACGAATTTTGCCAAATTGACGTTCACTATTTGTTGTCCCCCGTGAACCGATAATTGACCTATTTCCATTAAATTTATTAGAGTTTAATGAAATTTCCCCAAACGAAATGAATATTTTCGGTGGACCGAAAACAATTTCCATCCCAATCGATGAGCCCTTTTATCGTACGAGAGCCTTTCTCTAAAATATGTATTTTGATAACCTGGTTCATTAAAAAAATTGACCCTCTACATGATTTACATGGCTATAATTGATAATTGCAAATACTCTTCTTAAGAATAATTTATGACTTGTGAAATAACAACTTCTCGAAGTACAATTAAGATGTTACCTACAAAATGTTGTTTACTTCATTTCCAACAATAATATGTGCTGAAAATGCGATGAAGTGGCATCACGTAAAGTGTAAACAGGAAATTTGGAAATTTACGTGGATTTTCGAGAGCAGCATTTTCTTCGGACAAACAACAGTTAGGGTTATTCACGATAGTTGTTAGATAATGCTGACTTTGCTTGTAAGTTTACTCAGTTTATTTTACTATTTATTACCTACTCGGTTTATTTTGGCAAATAAATGTATAGACTAACCACAATAGATTCAGTTGAATTCTTCATTTGCGCATAAATGAACAGTAACATTTTTAAACATATAAAGCTGTGCAATTTTTCCCTTTAAATTCGCTTTTTAGTAACGTTTGAGCCATTATTTCTGTTTATATCGAACATGGGAACATAATAATGATTTGCAGTCGGCAAAATGAGATTTTGCAACGTCTATGGGCCGAAACTCGACGAAACTAATCGCGATAGTCCAGCAAATGCACCGTTGAAACTGTGTACTTCATATAAGCCATAACAATATAAAAGTTTAGTAGTTCAAAAGTTCAGTAGTTCGATGCCGGCAGTAATCATAAGAATCTTGACGGTCCCGGCTGGATTTCTACATTTAGATGCCATAAACGTCCGACGCAAACGCTGGGAAATGTGGAGAAATGAGACGTGAAATTTTCGGTATTTTCACTCTGTAGATGGCTTGTTTTTTATTGAAATTTCCATCGGCGGAAGAAAATTCTTTGTGCGATTGACTAGAAGAAATTAAATTACTTCACCTATTCGGAAACCTTCATTAAAAATCTAAAATAACTCGAGCTGAACCGCCTAGTTTGAAAAAAATCCACTCAAACTTTAATTACATCAGATTTTAATTAGAATAATCCATCAGGCCACTCGGCCCTTATGACGTGCAATAGATTCAAAAGAATAATTTCAGTAGAAAAATAAATTAGCTCCGCCGGAATTTCTTCTCTGAGGTAAGCAATAGCCAAGTTAATTAAAAGTGATGTTTCGAAAAGCAAAAGTAGATAACAACGTTAGCGCGAATGCAAATTAGTAATTAAATTGTTCGCTACATTAGCACAAAGCGAAAAGAGATGTTTTGGTTTACTTTTTAAAATCCAATTCAAAATTTTAATTTAATATTACGTAAGCATATTTAATGCTCTACCTACTCGTAACAATGTCACAGGAGAGGTTCTCACAAATTATAACATGAAAAAAAGTATGTACAGAACGTGAAGAATAGCAGAGAAGAAGACATTTACCTGCGCGAACTTCACTTGATATAGTTGATAATTCTGCGCATAGTATCATATCGAGGATTATAATTAATAAATCTCGGGAAATACAGGGTGTCCCAATGAAAAGTAGCCTTATAATAAAATATGTTTTATTTTATTATAAGTTTTGTTACAGTGATACAGAAATTATGCATTACCAATACAGGGTGTTTTATCAAAATCTCCTCTTTTAAATTCACAGAAACCATTTTTTTTAAAAGGAACACACCGTATATACAGAGGTATTTTGAAAGATATACCTTTCTAAAATATATTATTTGTACTTATTGTACAAAAGAAGATGTCCTATTTCATAAAATTTGGTTATTGTGAATTTAAAAGAGTGGATTTTTATGAAACACCCTGTACAGGCAATACAAAAATTTTGTCTCACTATAACAAAAAGTTATAGCAAAATAAAATATATCTGATGCGAAAACCGCATGTTTTTATGACTAGGCGTTGAAAAATTATTAGCTCACTAAAGGGGCTACTTTTCATTGGGTCATCCTGTATATGCAGAAAGTGTGATATTGTGGATAGTGGGATTGTAACTTTCTCACTGTATATAATCTTTCTTTGTTTGGCCATATGCAAAACAATTTTGTATTTATGTGTGTTTATAAGGCAAATATTGGTGTATCTAAGACTGTAGGTATACATCTACCTGAATTCTAATAGTAAATTAGCCACCATTTTTGAGTATCATTTAAAATTATGGTGGATGTGCCAAACTTCATCAGCAGAATTTGTCTATTGTTCATATTAACTTGAGCTAGGCGTCAAATAGCAGTTGCTTTATAAAAGAAAGAACTTTATAATTAGAAATTGCCCTATTGTGGCATTGTAATTAGTACGTATTATGCTTTCCATTGTAAATAAATTTTGCGCCTGTCAATTGTGATGCCCGGCTATCCGTTAACCGCATTCCGAGGATTCAAAAGGAGCCCGCATGAATATGTAAATAGTCATAATTCATTTTCCCCACAACGCAGGAAGACTAGCGTCAACTTTTCCTATTATCCGTGTTTTGCCGAGAACAGCATCAGTAAGGATTATCCGCGACGTAAGCATGATGAATGCACGTTTTCTAGGACGTCGGAGCCCGAGGGGTATTTTATTTTACGCCTAAATAATAATCACCATTAAAATAGAAATTTTATTCACTCGACTGTTCGATGAAAGTAATTTTTATAATATGGAAAAAGAAACGTATACGAGGGAAACACCTAAATCCATCAGGGAAAGAAAAATTCGAAGCCATTCGGTTTTGTTTCAACCAAACGCACTCGGTTCCGTTTGGATAAATCTCCTCGAGGAAGAAAAAATGGGGAGATGGGTAGGAAAACCGTTAGCGAAAGACGGAAACCGTCTGTTGCCTAAAATTCGAAAAGTTATGTATCATATACTTCAATATCGCAGGTTTCACCTACATTCGTTTCGAGGGCACGACCCCTACCCTATAAATCATTCGCTTTGAACTAGGATGTTCTCTCTAGACGAGATCCGCATTTTGTATGCACCTCGAACAGCCATTAATGCCCCAGGGTTCTGGAAGATTTGTCAAGTGTATTTTTTATTTGTCGAGATCGCAGAGAAAGTGATAAATGATTACCGAAACGAATCCAGGTACAAATACATGTGCTTAAAACAGAAATTCGGTGCTTTTTGGATAGTTTCGACGAATTTCCTCGAAAAAACATTTCCAAATTAAATGCAGATATTAGCTGAATGCTGCAGTAATAACGGGTGAAAAAGAATAAGTTCCAGTTGGTTTAGTCGTAATTGACCAACAAAATGGAACATTGCGTTTCGTTTTGTAAATCGCAATGATACCGGGAATGATTCAGACAACCCGGAAAATCGGAAAAACAGTTCTGGTGAGGGGTAATTTATCTAAATTGGAGAATTAATTCTTCCTGATTACACAAATTAATGATTAACGTTGAATTATACTCTTCACTGCATGAAGCAACAAATTAAAATTATTACTAGCATGTAATGAAAGAGGAACATAATGTTACACTTAAAATTTTATCAACAACGTTAACTGCCCGTTTATGCATTAAAGTGACGGTAAATATTGGGTTAGATTACCGATATTTACTTAAATTATTAAACACCCTAACCGCAGGCTTATTACAAAACCTTTATGAATCCCATAAACTATAAATTGGCGGTCACTTAACGTTGGCATTAACAACTATTGCTTTATTAATGAATAAATACGAAGGCAGTTTACGGTATCGTGACGTTAAAGAATATTGAAAAATTTATATTTTTAACAAGCTATTGTTATAAGGGGGGTGGGGTAAAATACTCCGTTTAAATAAAACATTATTGACTTATTAATATAAGAGGAATACATTTTTATTTCTCCAATAAGGTTGTCAAAATATTTTTATACTTCAATAACCCGCTGTAAAAACAGCATTAAATTTTCAAAAGGATGTAAAAGGATGTATTTTCATAACTAATTAATTACTATTTTCTTCACAGAACTTTCTGTTTTATTGGAAAGTTTAAATTACATCTTACTTTTTATAGTGTTTCCATCTTTATATTTCTAATTAAAATTTCAACGGCAAAAGTTTAATTAATTAAACTGGCGATAATAAAACTCGATATACTTAACATTTTTTAAGTAATAAATTAGTCTATTTTCTATTTTTTAATTCTGCTTTACAAAATAAAACGATTGCATCGTTTTCAACTTTGGCATATTAATAATGTAAGTACGATTAGTCATTATGCATGGATGGATTTAATTTCGATCGGTTTAATGCAAAGTTTTTTAATAACCAGGTTAATGAAGTGCTTAAATTTTAATCTACTATTTTTTGCCTATGCTAGCGCTCGTGAAAAAAATGTATGAAATTCCTGATTTATTAAATATGCGATTAAAAAAATAAGAGAAAACCGGTTTTGTTGGCGTTTCATAAATAAACAACGTTGCTCCAGATCGGAGGGCACATTTTAATTGCCATCAGCCACACGGGTTATTTCCATTTATTATTTCTTTTCTGTTGGTGCTTCGGTTTCCATCAGACTTGCTTTGATTATGTTTGCGTAAATATTTGAAATTACTAATCATTATTCCGCTGGAATTCCGTATTTAACTAATGGCTTCTTGCGCTCTCGCCAGATTTGTTCAAATACGACGACATGCGCGAAGTAAAAAGGTTATTTAAACGTTTATATAGCCCGATAATTCATCCGAAATTTTGGCAAAAAAATCGCGACAAATTTTCAACAATTAACTTTCTAATTTTATATCAGCCGAGTCGGAAGTTTTTTAAATTTATATACACGCGTGAAAGTTCAAACCTACGCAATTTGGCAATTCCTACAACAATATACAAACATAAGTCGTTGCTATACTATTATATTAATTTTATTTTAGAAAATATGAAATATAATTTCATCTACTGTATGTGTATGTATCTATCCGCAGCGTATTCGTTCCAAATTATTATCATTCGCCAATCTACTCTGTATACATTCGACCGCACGCAGAGAAACGAATAATCTTCTCCTTTTTTTTCTCCTTCGCTCTCGAATTGTTCTCCAAAACAATATTTGGCATTCAAGTCTCGCAACCCACCGAATGGCTTTAGTTTAAGCTAGGTCGATTTATTCTATGGGTTACCAGAACCGGCTTTAACGATTCCAGTAATTTGAAACAATTTTATTAACCTACTATAAGAATAAACTTCAATGGGAGTATAAATGCTATAAGATAACTTGGACAAGAGACGATATTTAAGTGATTTTATGTTGATAAACAACTATTTTAAGTATAGGAGATTAGATGAAGTATGTTACAATTTGGCATTGCTGTGATATAAGATCTAGCAGATTCATCGCTAGATTATCGTGAACATACTGTATATAATGTTTTAAAAGAAACTTTTTTAATTAGTTAAGAGTACCTAGGGGTTTAATTTTCCAGCATAAAAGATCGTAAAATTCCATTCCAGCGACCGAAGGACCGGGAGGTTAATTTTCTAAATAAAAAATGCCTACATTTTACGATCGCGTTTCCTTTAGAAGGAACCGACCCTGAGCGTGTAAGTCGATTTATTCGGTAGGAAAACGCCGCCCGCTATCGGCGAGATGTAGGTGAAAACCCCGAGAACTGAAAGATTTGATTTAATGCTGACGGTGCGATAGTAAGGGGGTTTTACGGGTTTCAATCTGAAATTAATTAGTTTCCTATTCTTTTTCGTAGCGATCTCGCCGAGACCGGGGGTTTTAAGATAATTACGTTTTCGTGACGCTTAAAATATTTGTCTAGTTGATGGATCTATGCCGCGCTTCAGACGGAGCCGGAAAGATTCGCGAAACTGATACTGCGGATACAATTTAATCAGGATGAATCGGCGAGGATTCTTTTATGTACTTGGTTTAGATCCCATTTAAAAGAATCCCCATTTTACTCTTGTAAATTGTACTAAATTTGGGTTGAAGTAAAAAAAAACTATTCCACAATAAATTGTTTGCAGGAGATTCAAAGAAGGACTTTTACTCCTTAAAATCACTCTTATAATATAATGAATCCTTATAATCACTCCTCACAAACACTCCTTATAAACTCTCCTTATATCCTTATATTTCTCCTTTAAATTATTCCTTATAATCACTCCTTATAATCACTCATAATCACTTCTTACAAATACTCCTTTTAAATCACTCCTTTCAGTCCTAGTGTTTCTAGCTTATACGAAAACTAGGAAGATTTCCAATCCAAAGTCATTATGTAAAAACTATAAAGAACTATATTTTTTTAAGTAAAACATACTTGCTTTTCATCACCTACTACTTATTTTATCATTTCTTTCTTCATTCTCCTTTCACTTCTTTATACATTTTGTTCACAGAGCAACGAGTTTGTAGAACTTTCGTCGTGAAATTCGTAATGAATATACACCCCTAGAACCTATTACGTTAAAGAGTTAATGCATTTATGTAACTCGTGCATCGTTACGAACTATTTCATCAAGATAGCGAGGTGTAATTCTCACACTGAAAGTAATTTTAATGTCGATTGTTCTGGGGCGTTCGAAATTGTAGGAAGTCACGTTATTCAAACGCGGCGTTTAAATAATCCCCGTTTAAAACGAATGCGTTCTATTTCGGTGCGCGTACGGTTATCTGTATAGTTAGAAGAAAATTCGCTTAATTGGTTACTTTTTACTATTGTTCCCCCACAACAACTGATGCTCTTCGAGAAATTTCGCTCGGAAATAAGCCCCTGCTGTATTGTATAGTCAATTAAAAAATCGATACGCAAACGACGAATCTACCAACAATGGAACGACGATAATTCCCTTTAGATGAATAGCTCCATTCATTTCGATCAAAACGTAATAAAATTCATATAAATCAGTTAGATTTGTGCGGAGAAATCCAGTATTATGTTCCATTGATAAATGTATACTTGTATACGTTGCAGTGTTGTAATAATAACGGATAACATCAAAATCGGTCACGATATCTCGGTTTGGTTCTCTCGTGCCTTTTTTTTATCGTTCACTTCGTTAATTATCTGTAACACGCGAAAAATATAAAAAATGGCGTGATGTGGACGAGAGGAGAATGTATTTTTAAGATTATCCAAAACATATCTAGCAGTAAAAAAAGCTTTGCCGCAAATCTTTTTTACGGTTTAATTTATAGGCAGATAATTTTTATTATTGCCTTATAATTACCGGAATCCTAAATATCTTAAGAAAACGTTGATGTTTAATTTTTTATTTTGCCATAATTCATTGCTTTGAAATAATATGTAGGCAAAACAAAGTTCCTCAAAATATAATCTAATCTACCGACATTTTATTACACTTGGCAGAAATGTTAATAAATTGTTTTTTATTTTTGTTTTAGAACGAAAGCATAGCCGAAACTGAACCCGCAACAAAGGACATGACAGCAGTCAATGCGGTGAGTACAAGAACTATTTCTATTAAATTAAAATAGAGTTATTTCGAAATTGGATTAAAAGAAAAAAGATTAATTAAATTCGAAGAGTTCAGTTTAAAGTTAAACTTAAGAATAATAATGTAATAAAATCTAATTTTAAACAAAGTTAGTTTTAAAAATTAGCTCACCGCGAATTCGTTTTTTTTTGCAGTTTTACCAACATTTCGACGTTAACGCTCGCACTTTTCATATTTGCTTTACCTACCATTTTTCCACGTCTATTAAAACAACTTTAGCAAGAGCTAATTAGGAGAAACCGCCGGGAAAACAAACCTCGTCGTTTTTTTTCTTATAAATGGGATATAAAAAAGCCTTAACGATTCCGCAAACAACAGTCAAACTTCTAATTAAATATTTAATCCCGGGAATAAGTCCGTTACTGCCAATAACCGGAAAAAAACGTTAACAAGCTTTATTTCTAATAAAATCTCACTTTTAGCCCAAACGGAAATTTATAATCCCCCGAAAATCCCGTTGAATTATTAGCACGGAATTCGAAAGTTAAATTTTATAAAGTCGTAAAACGTCATGGAATTGACCCTAAAAAGTGTAGAAAACTTTCCAAATTGTTTCTGTCGCAATTTTGTTTCCTGCATATAACCCTTAACCCTAAACGGGAAAAGGCAATTACGAAAGGAGAACCGGGTCCGCTTTAATTCAGTTATCGCAAGATGGCGGCAATATTGAATTTTGCAATGAGAAGGTTTCTGATCCGAATACGTACGGTCCAAATGTACACATTTTGACCCTTTTGTAATGTTTATAAACACCCGGTATCCAATAATATACTATATACCGGATCGGTTCGCGGCGATGTGAACATTGGAATAACACAAGTGCGAAAAAGAGAGTATATCTGTCCATTTAAATGTTACTTAAGAGGGAGAGATGGCATAATAACTAAACAAGTACTTACTCGAGTTTTCAAATGAATCAAGACAGTTTTAGAATCGTTACAAGTGTTCGATACAATTTAAAACTGTCCAGAATCATTTAGAAACATTTAAGAATGGAGTAGAGCTATTTGAAACAGTTCAGGACAATTGTAGTACTAATCTTAAGCTATCTGAAATCATTTAGAACAGATTCAGAACTCTTTAAAACAGTCCAGGAAACCTATAGAATAGTCCAGATACTATTAAAACTGTTCCGAATCATTTAGAATCACTTTAGAACAGAGTACAGCCATTTGAAATAGTTCAGGATAATTTGAGTACCATGTTGAACTGTCTAAAATTATTTAGTACTGATTTAGAACTCTTTGAAACAGTTCAGGATAAACTGGAACAGTCCAGAAACTTTTAGAACTTCCCAGAATTATTTAAAACTATTTAGAAGGGAGTAGAGCCATTTGAAACAGTTCAGGAAGATGCTACAACCATTTAGAACTGTCTACAATCATTTAAAACTTTAAGAACCATCCAGAATTATTTAGAACCATTTTAGAATGGATAAGAGCAATTTGAAACAATTTAGAACGACCCTAGAACCATTTAGATCAGTCTATAAAGTCATTTTTTCTTTGGAAAATCCCAAAACGACTAAGTTAATAAAGTATTGTAAAAAAATATTTTTGCATATCTAGTAATATACTAGACTGTTTGTTCCTGTAAAACATTCACCAATTCATTTCGTGCTTTTATTTTGTTCTACTTCTTCCTCTCCATCTTCTAACTTCAGGCGATCATATAAGATTTCTAATTGAACTAACAAACTTTTCGAACACATCGATATAAAAACCCATCGACCTCCTCCCGCGCGCTAATTTCAGTCTCAAAGTCTTCCGTTCGGCCGTTTGACAGCGCTTTGTCGCTCATTTCACAAAGTGACAACTCGCAAAACTCCACTCGAAGCGCTAATGCCGGGTTTTCTTTGTAATTTCCCATCGCCGCAACCCCCGCGCTGCAGCTCGAAATTACTTTCCTCGTGACACGTTAACATCGCCGTTAAAACGATAGGGGTGTAATTCCACGATGCGATCCGGCACTTCATAGACATTCCCCCGGGGGAGCCGAGTCGAAAGGTGAAGTTGACACTACTTACGGCGCGACGTCTTCGCCTCCGGTCATCTCGATACGCTCGAATTATATTGCGCTGATGCGTGATAAATTCTCTAAGTGTCTAAAGCTATTTTCTCCCTGTTACACTTGTATAAACATCTTATATCGATGATAGGTAGAATTTTATTACGCTATTACAAAATTAAGTCAAGTTCAATATCATATTTGAGAAGTTGTAACGATGGTTATTAGAGATATCTATACAGCTGTATATAAATTTGTATTTCCTATAAATGATGTTTTAATCATCTAATTTCTTTTTTTCGAACATGCCAATTAAGTAATGCGTGATGCTATCATTGGATGAATGCGAGCAACATTTATTAACAAAATTGGGAAATTAGTATAAAGCGAATTTAGGACGCTTTAGAATGATTAAAGAAACGAAAAGGAGAAGAAGTTAAATTATAAATCAAAACCGCGGCCGCAAAGTTTTTCCTTAATACCCAAACATTTCAAAAGTCTCGACACGACATTCCGCTTTCGCATAAAAATTTATGACTTTTCTTTATGAGAGGGCCGCCGCAGCAGCGATCTAGTCGAGAGGCAGCGGAAGATCCACGAATCAATCTTTCGAACTTTTTCCCTAATAGGTCTTTTCACATTCCGATTGGTGGCCGCCTTACAAAGAGTCTGTTTGGTGACCTGAATAAGGATCGTAAAATTGCGGATCCAGTCGCCTCTGACGAGCTGGATGCCCATGTAGAGGGATCATCCATCTATGCAAAATTTAATTTTCTTATACGATGGGGAATTTTTTGCCTCCCGCGTTAAGATTGATAACGCAACTCATCGCAAAATTCCCTAATCAAAACGTGGTCTTTCCATTCCGCACCGTCATGCATGGAAAAACCAATAAATCTACTTTAATAATGAAAGCTCCGCTTATTCTAACAACGCTATTAAGTTTTAATTTACCTCGAGACTTCACCAAAAAATAAATGTTTAAGCCTAGTCACTAGGGGTGAAAAATTAATACAAGCTGGGTTATAAAGTAAAAACCTCCTTGGTTAGCACCAGCAGTGAAAGACACCAGCTGACGGCTCCCAACGCCTAATGCAGCGCCCCGAAAGCCGCTTAAAACCCATATTAACCATCTTCATGTATTATTCCGAGCCACTTAAACGTGTAGGCCGCCTCGAAGCCTCCTTAAGAGCAGTTTGTGATTATAGCCGATGTAAGAATCTTAATTGCAGATATATTTAGCAGAAGTCTCGGCTGAAAGCGTATTTATCAAATATTCAGCGGGACTAATTAAAGTTGGAGAGGACGCGTACGATGCTCCGGGTGGAAAGTGGAAGAACGTTAGAAAAGCTTTCCGGTTGATGAAATTATAGTTGTTACGAGCAGAAGGATTTTACGATAAGTAAAAGGGTAATAGCGATTCTTTCCTTCGACATTTTACGACATTGTACTTACGCCTAAACCACCTGCGTTTTTATAAAGCTTCGCACCAGTCAAGGAAATTGAAAATGAATCTTGGTTAACTATGTGCGTTTGTACCGAAATATTCCGGCGTAAATTTTACCCCGGCAACCGTTTCCTGCATGATAAACTAGACAGCGGTCCCGAACGCTTATTCACGTCACGATGTTATCAAACTTCAAGTCTGCGAGGATTCAATTACATTTTAATAAATATAGTGATGCTCGTAGTTTGCTTACACACATGATGTATCGTGTTCCTGATATACGTGCTCTCTCGCTGTGTATATCGGAACGACGACGCCGCGACGCCGTCGACGTCGATACACGCAAAATTCTCAATGGAAAGCTTTTGTTTATATTGTACTCTTGATGGACAGTTCACTATCTGGCTGGGTTTTTGTGAGAAATTTGTTCTTGCGCTCTTTTTATGACGTGGATATCACTTGATGAAAAATGGTGCTGAATCGAAATAAAATTCTGCTGTTAATGGCCCGTATTCAGCCTTCATTTTTAACGCTAATCAGTCTTTTAAAGAGTCTCTTTAACGTAAACAATATTCATTGTTACTTAGTCCGTTCTACGTAACAATAATGTACAACTGACATATCAAAGAGACTATTTAAACGATTGATTAGCGTTAAAAAGGAGCGCTGAACTGAATACAGGCCATGCCAATATGAATCATGTAGGGAAATAAACAGTGCTCAAGTTGTTACCAGATTGTTATCGCATGAGCATATTCTATAGTTTATCCATTTTCTTTAGCTCTAAAAATCACTTTTATTAATCATTCTCCTTGCCATTAACTTCGCCTTCAACCTCCCTATTAACCTCACCATAATCCTTCTCATAATCTTTCTTATGTTTCACTTTATAATCCTTCTCAGCATTATCCCTTCCATTACCAGCATTATCCTCACCATTAGCTCATCTCTATCCTCACCACTATCCTCACCATTATTCTCGCCATTATCATCACCATTATCATCACCATTATCCTCACCATTATCCTTACCACTATCCTCACCTTTATCCTCACCATTATCCTCATGCACCATTATCTTCACCATTATCTTCACCATTATCCTCACCATTTTACTCACCATTTTTCTCACCATTTTCCTCACTATTATTCTTACCATTATCCTCACCATTATCCTCACCATTATCCTCACCAACATCATTATCATAGTCGCTCTTACTCTTACCATAATCCTCACCACAAAGCTCTTTATGATCATTACTGTAATTCTCACCTTTACCACCACTATTAGCACTAATTTTAGATACTATACATTCTGTATTTTCTGGAAACTCTTTAAATAAATCTTTCCGAATAGTAATCAGCCTTCTCTCTTTGCGTCGAGTGATTTCCAATTCAATTTCCCGAATTTTAATTTGATACAATTCCATTTGTGTGTGCCGCAGCGATCTGCGCACGAATCAATTATTTAAATCTATGTATATCAATCTC